TAGATTGGTTATAATATCTAAATTCCAATTAATGTTTATTTCCATCTCGCAACTACTACATTGTAATATCCACCATTTAAAGAAATTTACTTGGCACGCTTAACAAACATTCTAAACCAGTATTATATTCTAAAAGTTTCTAACAGAGCTTTTATACTTCTCCTCTGTTACTACACAGCTATTTAGCTTTGCAACCTTGCTTGAAACCCATGTATACTTCCATAAGGATCCATCCAAACCAACACAGAATATATCAGAACTTTAAAGTAATATTGTTGACCCTCATTAGATTAGGCAATGAACGAAGAACGCTACACATGCTTTCACACCGAAAAATATTCTAAAGTATCAAAAAGTGATGGAAGCGAAAGAACAACTCAAACCTACAACTGTTAGGTCATATCAGGCTTATTTCATTACAGCTTACTACTCAGTCATAGACTTATAGAGTATCCATCTATCACAAACATAAGGTGACTAACAACAATGGTTCTGTAATGACGCATCAAAGTTAGGCTTCCCGGACAGGGGAAGACTAATGTTCTCTATCAGATAAAATCCCAGAAAAAACACATAATTAAGAACATCTTCAAATTGTAGATGCAATTAATTCCCAAGAAAAAGACATTTGACTAACTGTGTAATACATAATTCTGGAACTTTCCAAAATAACTCCTACTAGTCTGCAGATTAATACACCAATTTTCAACAGTCCAGCCTCTTATTCCGAGTAGAAAAGGAAAGAAAAGATAAAAGCATGGTTTCTTATTCCAGTAACCGATCTGTGACTAGAGTTGTACCAATTGCAATTTTAGAGTAATTAATAAAAAAGAAGTATAGGAGGCACCTTGGTATCAAGCATAACAGCACAGAGAATACCAGTATTCTCCATAGCCTGTCGGAGATTATCAATAGTCTCCTGATGATAGTCATGAGATCCATGAGAAAAGTTGAATCTGGCAACATTCATGCCAGCCCGGAGAAGCTTCTCGACCATGGGAACTGAGCGAGATGCTGGGCCTAAAGTGCATACAATCTTGGTCTTAGGCCTCTTGACATTGTTGCTGTTTTCAATCGCCATAGCCAAAAGGAAAAGGAAGGAGAGAAGGGAAGAAAAAACTGAAATTAGAATAATAGTATTGTGGTGGTGAGGTGAGAGAAGGAATAGTAGGTGGAAGAATAAAAAGAAACGTACGCCGTGCGGACTTGACGTGATGTTGAACTTTTCTTCTATTTATTTATTTATTAGAGTTTAGGTATTTGTAGGGACCACCATATTCTTGTCACACAAGCTATTTCTCCTTTCCATTCACCTCCCCAACCATTTTCTTTTCTTTTCTTTTTTCCTTTTCTCTCCTCCCTCGCTTTTCAATTCCATTTTGCCTTTCAATACAACTTCTTATTCCATTTCTAATTTATTATATTATTATTCCTTACATATTATATATATATATATATATATATTAATACAAAGTTAAATTTTAATATATTTAAGGATAAAAAATAAATGTTATTCTCCTAAAAAATATAAAGGGGTTAAGAACCTTACTACAAAGAAAAGGTAAATATAAAAGAATTCTAATATTTTTTCTTCAATTCACTTATTTTGATGTCAAGTAAATAAATTGAAAAAATGTCAAGAAAATTTAACATTATAAATTATATTATCAGGGATAAACTAAAAAAATTAAAGTTAAATTATTATTATTATAATTACCCATCAAACTTATACCATTTTTTAAAGTAGACACTTAAAGTTTGCGTGAGTCGTATTACCCCATGAAATCATTTTAAAGTAGCATATATTCTTCCTTTTTAGGTCATTCCTAGTTGTAGTAAGGCAGGTGCAAATCACGCACCAACCCTAATCTATCACCTGTCATTCACTATTTAACTTTTGATTCTTTTCATTTTTACCTTTAATTTTCTATTTTTATTTCTTTTTTGAAATTTTTCTCTTTCAAATTTCTACTTAGCCTTTGACTTCATAGTGACAACACTCCATCATTGCACTACTTAATCACTACTAAATCATGACAAATAATCAAAATATGAAAATTAGAAGGTCTATCAAACCAAAATTTAAATCATCATTTTCATCCCAAATCGCCTTCTTTATCTATTAGCATCACCATTTTCGATCTCTAATTATTAGTAAAGAGAAAACTACTTCGTTAAGTTTAAAAAAGAAGAAGATAGAGCCAATAATATCGCATTTTAAAATACAAAATCTGAGCAAGAATGGTGGTTTTTAATTTTTGGCCTGTTGAAAAAACTTGGGAAAAAAGTCTGAAATATATCCGAACTTTGGCCGAAATTGTTGTTACGATACCGAACTTCGGAAAGGACCTTTTACCCCCTACACTATTTAATAGTGTATTTTAAAGGTATATATGTGCCCACGTGGACATCATAAATATTACATAATTATAAATAGTAACGTGTCCACGTGGCCACATATATACCTTTAAAATACACTATTAAATAGTGCAGGGGGTAAAAAATCCTCCATAAAGTTTGGTATCGTAACAACAATTTCGGCCAAAGTTCGGATATTTTTCAGACTATTTTTCCAAAAAAATTCTGAAAAGGCTATTAATGGTGATTTGGGGAAGATGAGAAGATGGGTCTAATTTATTAATTAAAAAAATCAAAGTCAAAATGTCACATGGTATTTTAACACTGGTATTGTAGCGACCATTTCGAAAGGATACTACCACTTAAACAAGAAACTAATTAAATACTTGTGACATTTAAAAGAGATTTACTATGGCCATATTGATTATAGTTTAGTAGAGGGATTAGGTTCATAAAAGAAAAAAAATATAGTTAAGGATGTGCATCTTGCCCATTTAACATTTATGTGATGTCAAAATTGATATAGCGCGGAATTTCAACTTATGACGGAAAAACCCTCCCAAAAATAATTTAAGCAAATAACCGATGAGCTTTTCATGCATATATTATCTTCACACTTAAGGATGAAATAACAAGAATATTACCCATTTCCTAGTACCGAAATCATCCGGTTCATGCTTCACACTAATATTCAAAACAAATAGTAAATTTAGTATATTGCAATACTTGGGCTTACACACCCCAAAAGAACAAAACATATAGCCATACTTATTTTACAACGCATGGTGACATGATCACATTAGTCCTCAAAATTTCATGTAAATATACAACACATAGATCATGTACAAGTCCCAAGGTTTATACAAAATATAGATGTCTATATGCAAATGTGATCTTCCTTAAGGCTCTCAAAAATTCCATCTCCAATGGCCCGCTTCATGCATCCACTCGATCATTCCCCTACGATAGAAACAACTATCGCTAAGCATATAGCTTAGTGGTGCAAAACTATAGGTTCGGAGCCATTAGATTCACCAAGTTAACTTTCTCAAGTCATGGGCAAAATACTCGAACATAATAAATAAATCAAGTAAGCAATATATATAGAGTATCAAGTTCGATATTTAAAGTTTCAAATGTCAAGAACGCTCATAGCACAAATTTCCAAGAGATTCAATAACAAGGCTCGCCCAATATGTACATCATGTCTTCACACCAAGCACAAGCAAGTATCAAGAAGGGCCGAAACCCTGTATCAAGAGGGTCAAAGCCCAATAATCAAGAGAACCAAGAACCATATTAAAAATGGCTTTCTA